GTGCGTGTGTGTGTGTATGCCCTCTGGAATGCATGCCTATTATCATGTTTCCTTTTAGAGCTTCTGCTTCAAAAACATAATGCATAATCAGTTTGATTATGTGACAAGCTGTTTCATCCTTTTTCTTTTTTTTTTTTTTTCCCACTAAGCAATTTTCTAGGTCATGTTTGCATTAGGTCTTCCTTTAAAAAAAAAAAAAAAAGTCAGAGAGATTTTCTGTGGAATTTCTTTCCGCCAGCAATTACAGTCATTGTTTGGAGAGCTAATTTTGATGATATTTCTAAATAATTAGTTTATTTTTTCTTCAGAAAATCAGAAATCCATTTAGGCAGTGGGAACATAAGCCATTCATGGAACACTTAAAATACAGCCTTCAAGAAAAACGGAAATAGCTACAGTTAAGATTTGCTCAGTTCAACTTCTTTCACCAGCAACATTCAACTTTCAGCGAGAATTGAAGGAGAAATTGTCTCTAAAAACTTATTCTAAATATTTTAAATTAAATGTATTCAAGTGACAATATCTGCTTTTTTTTATCTTCAGAAATGTACTTGAAAAGGATGCCACAGGCTTACATTATGCTCAAGATACATTGGAAGTCTTAACTTTTATTGAATGTAGAACCAACAACTCCAGAATCAATCAGTGGCAGTTAAAAACTAGTCTGACACTGAATTTTAATGGACCCAGTCAGTAGCTTTAGGAATGGCCCTTGTCCTTGGTCACCCCTTCTGGTAGCAAATCTGGTAGGTGCAGGCTCAAGGGATAGAAATCCCAGCAAACCCACAAGTTAGTAGTATTCCTCACACACTGAAACGCCTTCTGATCAGATCCCATAGCTGGCAAAAAGGGAGAGGCTGGATTTGTACTCGAGACGTCTAAGGCAATGGAGTTGTTCCTAGCTGTTGTATGGGTACCCTCTGTGAAGCTGGCAAATAATTTAAACTCATCTTTATGTTTTTGGTCACTACTGTTTAATATTTATTTTCTCAGTGCTCCTGTTCTGATCCCTCAGGTGAAATCCTGGCCCTGCAGAATCCGTCAGGAGTGTCCCAGTGCTGGAATCCGATTTCCAAAAGATTTGAACGCTCGCAGTCCCAGCTGGAGGCAACGGGTGCTGTGGGTGGTTAGCCCCTCTCCTGAACACCGTTCTGTGTCTTCTACATTGGGCACTTCATCGCTGAAGAACTATGGTGCTTTTGTTATGAACGAGGAAACTGTCACCCAGAAAATTACTATAATAATACCCCTCTGTCTAGCAGTGATATTGTAAAGAAAAATATAATTCATACATTTTTCTGAGACATTCAGGTACTACGGCAGTAGAAGCCACAAAAAAAAAATGCAATGAGGAAAAGGATAATTCTGTGCTAAGAATACTTTACAGCAAATTAGGCCTAGGGCCACAATATAACTAATGAGGAGAAATTGAAATATTGAATAGCTGCCTCATTCACCAGGCACTATTCATCCAGGTTGCTACTGGAGGCAAGCAACCTGCAGTAAAAATGGCATAAACCTTTGATTTAATCTATCAAAGACCAGATTTCATCTCAACATGCATTCCATTAACAATACATGCAATATATATCCAACACTGTATTCTCCTCATAAAACAAGAAAAGACAGATGAAGCTAAATATGCTGTATAATTGGTTGGAAACACTCTTCAGGATGTGAAAACATTATTTTCATGTCATTGTTTAGACATAATTAGATAAATATATTAAATACCATATACCATTTTTGACTAGCGTTGCATTTTCTCGGTCTCTATCTAAAAGCTTGCAGGCATAACTGAGTTGGGTAGGGACTACATGAAAATCACTAAGCCATCTCTGCCTGCAAAACCTGACTTGTAGATGTGAATTTACCATCAAAATGAATATTTTGCTACTATTTTGCTATTGGAATGACTGAAGTTATTCCAATATCTAACTGGTGAATTTATTTTAAGCTCAAGAAAGCTTTTGTCAGTATAAGTAGTATCTCCCTTATGGGAACTTGTTGATGTAACTCCATTGGCAGAACCAAATTGGGACATACAAAAGATGTGAAGGCGGCTACGGAGTGACTTCTGAAGTCTGCTTATGCACCATCACAACCTTTTCTGATGTGCAGTGAATTGAGCTCTTCCTGTGTTTCAAAAATTACACCAAAAGGGGGAAAAAGAGGAAGATTATTTTTACATATATTTCTGAAAAGTGAAGAAGTTATTTTCCAGGAAGATGAAGGAAAACAGCAAGGACAGATTTGAATTCAGTAAGCACGTTAGCTACAAATGAAGACTGGCTGTTGGTGACTTGCCCGGAATCTGTCCTTTTCCATCCTTGTAACATCACTCACCACTGCCATTACTGCCTTATAATGCACGTGTTCCTAAAAGGCATATTGGTTCTGTTATAATTACTGACATTCTAAATTTCTCATACACTATCCTACAGATATTTCCATTTTCAGACATAAGAGAAGATCCTGTAATGGCAGAACTCACAAAAAAATCTTTCTTGGGTTAGACCAAAGGCCCAGCATTCCGTGTGAAGGAGGACTTGGTCAGATGTAATACTTATGAAAAGTAAGAAACTGGGCTTGTCTAGGCTGGTCTGTCCTGATACAGACCCAGCTTCCCGTGCTTTTTGGCCATACCGCCATGGTGCTGTTACAGCATTCCCCACAGCACTTTCAAGTCCATATTCCTTGTTGATTTATCCCAGTTCTCTCAGTGTTGGGAGGTGTCAGGGTGGCACGGGGGTGGCAGTGACAGACCTTTGTGGCAGAAAGGAGGCAATCCCTGGCAATCCCTGGTGCTAGCAGCTCCCCGCAATGTGCTCCCTCCAGTTGCCTGGGAAAGCACCATCCCCACGGTGGTGGCCTAAGGCTGTGAGGACCAGCCCCACAAAACCCCGCAGCATGGGGCCACAGTGCCCTTGCACCCTCAGGCACAGAATCACAGAATCATTTTGGTTGGAAAAAAACTTTAAGATCATCAAGTCCAACTGTTAACCTGGCACTGCCAAGTCCACCACTAAACCATGTCCCTAAGCACCACATCTACACATCTTTTAAATACCTCCAGGGATGGGGACTCAGCCACTTCCCTGGGCAGCCTGTTCCAGTGCTTGACAACGTTTTCAGGGAAGAAATTTTTCCTAATATCTAACCTAAATCTCCCCTCCAAATCTCTCTGACACAAGCAGCACCCAGGGCCCTCCTGTTTACAGGACATCTGCAGCAGCAGGTTATCTATCAGATGAGTAAACTTTTTGTGTCACAGAGGAATCCTCCACCCAAATCCGTCTAGGAAAAGCCTACACTTTGCCCACAATCACAGTCAGAGCCAGCTTTGTTCCCACAGCAACAAACGCCAACTCCTACAACATGCCCCAGCTTTTTGGCAGAGCCTGACCTCCTCCTGCCAGAGCCCTGACTCCGACCCTGGCAGGGCACGCTGAGAAGGGGGTTGCTGTGCAGCCTGACTGCTGTGCGGCCATCCTCGGCAGCTGGGGACAGCACTCCTCTGTTAAAGCAGGCTTTGATGACTGGATCCATGCATTTCTGTGCAAGGAGTCATTTGTTCCCTTAGCAGCTAACATTTCTGGCTGTGTCTTGTATGTGATCAGGCACAGTTTCCTTCCTCTCATACCCACTGGAAAAAGCCATGCCCAGCTGCAACATTTTTGTGTCGGCTGCCAACAGCCAGTATGCATGAACATGCAGGCACATGGGGAGATAAAGGCCAGGCAGGAATGGTTCAGGGTCCAAAGTGGTCCATGTGCTACGCAGAGTGCATCCCCTGGGTGCCTGCTTGCTTTCTGCTGCTTCTCTTCCTGCCCCCCGTTCCCTGCGCAGCCATGTAGAGCTGTCTTCTCCCCTCCACCACAGGCTTTCCAGCTTTTCAGTTCAGCTTCGATTATTTCAGGATATCCCAGGCGCAATTTGGGGGCAGGAAGCACAGGACAGCTGTAGGTAGTCACATCTCTCTTTCCTTTCCCTTTCCACGCTTTTTGTTACAGAGTAGTCCATTTATACTTCAGCCTGACCCCTACTCCAGGGCCTTCTGCATGCCTGGCGTAGAGCATTTGGAGGCAAAGTGGATGTCTCAAAGGTCCTGCTGAGACTCCTACACAGCCTGTGAGAGAGCAGGTTGCATCTGTAGCCACTGGGAATGGGCAAAATTCCTGAGCCTGTGAAGCCAAATGGCTGAAACAGTTCATAGCACATCCATAATGTAATGCCCTCGCATAATCCCATTGCTTTAGGCCAATGACTGTGCAAGTAAAACTAGAATACTACTGAAGTATTTATCTTTCTTGATTCAGTTTTAATTTCTTGGACGGGGGGGTAATAAATATATCAATAAATCAAAAACCAAAAATGTAACAGATGGAATTCTCTAATCTGCTGTGACCTTGTCTTTTGTCTTGAAAAATAGAGGTACTCAAACATATTCAGATCACCCCATTGGGCCCCTGGCCATTCCTCAGTTGCAAATTCCCAGGGCTTCTATGACAGTTATTCCAGGACATCATAATAAACCGTAATATTAAACTCAGCCTGAACTCAGTGACTTAATTTAAGAACGATTCGTTATCGGAGGGAGGCTTCACAGGTGACGGAAACGGATCAGAAACGGATAATGACAACATGGTCCTGATACTCAGGCCAGCTCTTTCCTAGTTCATGTGGAATCAACGTCTGTGCACAAAAAAAAAAAAA